TCTTCCACTTACTAAGATTAAATACCGTAGTGTACCGACTAAAAAGTTAACAATAATTACTTGGGTTTCATTTCCGGGTCTGGAACGGGGTCCACTCAGCCTCGTGAGGATAATTAATGAGCTATTTCAAGACATAGCGGCTCCGGTCTAGAAAACCGAAATTAACGGCCGTGGGGATTCGTTGCGCTGACCACGCGAACCGTCTATCCGCTAAAGGTGGCACTAATTCGCCGACAAGCGTAGGTCGCTCGGTCGGTACAGTTTGCTTGCGGACTCAATCCAACGTATCCCGGGGGAGGGGCCATTTCTAAAAGTGTAAAGCGGCCGAGGTAACAAGCTCACCACACAGATCCATCTTGTGCAGAGATTGAGAACGCATGGAGCTATATTTCACTCCCTCATAAGTCTTCATGGCGTGGTGCTTAATTAAGCACAAGGATAACTTCAATTTCGCTAAATTACGGACTGTAAAGGCTGGGAAAGAGACTTCGTTTCACTTCCGTTTCTTAATTTCAGACAGTCGGCAGGCCTCCTTGGGCGAGTGCTCAGCCCATCGCAACACCACTACCTACACATAAACACAGAATAAAGGCAAACATCAATGCCTTGAGTGGGATTCGAAGACACCATCCCTGTGTTGGAGCGAGCGAAGACATTTCATGCCTTAGACGGCGCGGCCACTATGCTCGGCACTTAACTACCTAAGCTGGGTGGCTAACAAGAGGAAGGAAAGAGCAGGCTAAAGTCGTTTGGATCATAGAAGAAATGTGATCGAAGTGAAGGAATCAAATACAAAACTAATCTTGGTGCTGTTACATTTGCAGAGTGCAATCGCCCAGGATGATACCGTGTAGTCTGGTACAAAATGCTGATGATCCTCCGAAAAGTCGTTAAGCTTAATGCCCTGCTCAGGAGTTCAATTCCAAACCTCAGTATCAACAAAAAAGTCGAAGATGGATGGTGACTCAACATACGCCAGCAGAAGAACGAAACAGGCCAATGGGCTTAGGGTGTGAAGGGCTGATTATTGTTGTTATTATTATAATTATATTTCAATTCAGACACGCGATCGATCTGCGCTGTCGGTTATGATGTCCTGTCATAACAACGCTACAAAAATTCCTCATCTCTAGTGATGCAGAATCAGACAGTGGTATCATGCATTATGACATGTGGACATATCAGTAACACTGACGAAATTTTAGAATACAATGTTCAAGAATCGGCATGATTGGTGCAACGTCACATATAACCACGTAAATTATATTCATGGCCTAGGAAGTGAATAAAATTTAATCGTAAGCAAAAGTAAACATGAAACTGTATTTTAAAGCATAACCCGAGATTATAATTTCAGCTCTGCCAGGGATATGTATTATAATTCCAGGAATGTCCCCGGGAAGCTACAAGCGACTATAAGGATCAAATCCTGTCACTATAAACACTGCAAATGAAAGCATCAATCACAGCACTAACATTATGCTGGATAATGTCTATTTCACACTGCAGTAGTACCCGCTCTCCTCCCTAGATATGGTTGTCTTTCTTGTCAATATTAGAATAATGTGGCATATAGACCCGATGCTAAGCAACGACCGTGAAACAGAGGACTGTTGCAGTTCAGTCGTTGTGAGCTGTTGCTGAGGCACGGGCACCCAGAGGAAGGGGAACGTCCCCCGTTGGAAGCCGTTACCAGAACACTGGTGAAAACACAGCAGACTAAAATGACTTGGTGTGTGCTGTAGTAAATTATAAAGTGTGTGAATTAGCGATTGATCTATAGTTACTTGTAATTATGATCGGTAAGAGTTCAGTACATCTAATTACCAATCCAAACCCCGTCTATAGTCACTCACACACGTGACAATATACAAGAGCTAGAACTTCAAAGAAGGAACAATATTCAAATTAAGAAATTTATTGTATTCTAATTTAATTCAGAAAGATTGTGAATGTGCATTCGATCTCATCCGAAAACTGTACGGCAATGCTTGCTCTTCGCTTTAACAGCAGTGGCATGCAGCAAAAGCAGGCCCAGGCAGTAAATTTCCGTGTTCTGAATTACGTACGCGGTAGGACAGAAGAAACTAACAAAAATCGAAAGAAAGGCACATGTTTCATATAGACCCTCTTCGCGATCGAGTAGTTAACAATCCTGCTTCGTTACTCACTGAAAATTAGACCTTTCCCTCTATAGCACAAGCTACTAAGAGACTTGTATAAACATCCCACTATTCCTAAACATAATAAAGTATACTCTTCCAAAGTTGAAAGGGGACATCGTGGGCGGTCTCGAAGAAGATGGGCTGATGTTCTCGAAACCGGAACATGTCTGGAAGCTTGTATCCTTGGAGTCACAGTAATAACACTTTTGAAGTGTATAAAAGTGCAACTCTACTGGCCTCTATCAGCGGGTATGAGCGGTCCACGCGTGGGAAGACAGGCACAGAGAGACAGAGATTCAGGGAGACACACCAAACCGATGGTTTGGCAGAAGTTTCGTGCATGTACAAGTACATGGTCTAGGGCGTGAGTAGTGTTCATTAGCGTCGGTGTTCAGGGAAATAATCTGTTAATTCATGTTAAGCTTTGTGAATCATGGTAAGAAGAAGAAATACTAATGAACAGGAAAATCGTGGGAGAAGTGAAAGACACTTTATTCGAAGAAAAAAGCCATCAAGAGTGGTTAGATGTATAGTTTCTGATAAGTATCACATCAAGAAAGCAGTCTTCTGGGATTTGGCACCGTGTATATGTGGTGTTAACTAACGTTTCGGAGGAACCCGGTAAAAGCAGACAGTCTGCTTTTACCGGTTCTTACGGTCTCTTCGCTTGCAGAATTCTTATATTTTTTCTTCTACCCTGAAGATGGAGGCGATACGTTCCTCCGAAACGTCAGTTAACACCACATATACACGGTGCCAAATCCCAGAAGACTGCTTTCTTCATAGTAACCGCCGTGAAAGCCTCAAATCTTACACAGTATCACATCAGTTTTATTTTGTGATTAATGATGATAGGAAAGCCAGAGAAAGTTAAAGATTATGAAAAATAATATGGCGGCCTAAACAGCAAGGGGTCTGCATGAGAAGCACGCATAGCATCATCTGATTTATGACACGGGAAAAGAAGAAAACACGTGCCAAGATGGCCAGCAGCAGAACCTTNTTTGGCACCGTGTATATGTGGTGTTAACTAACGTTTCGGAGGAACCCGGTAAAAGCAGACAGTCTGCTTTTACCGGTTCTTACGGTCTCTTCGCTTGCAGATTTCTTATATTTTTTCTTCTACCCTGAAGATGGAGGCGATACGTTCCTCCGAAACGTCGGTTAACACCACATATACACGGTACCAAATCCCAGAAGACTGCTTTCTTCATAGTCACCGCCGTGAAAGCCTCAAATCTTACATGAACAATTCTTACCCACTTTTATTCCAAAAAGTCAGAAGGCAAGAGATGGCTTAGTAGGCACTGGATAGACAAGATAAAATTAAAATACAAAGTAATTCTAAATCATTGTCGTGGTTTCAGTTTATAGGCCAGGGAAAATGCGACAATAATTTATGATCATTTATCTTATCTTATCTTAAAGAAATAAACTGTAAATTTTGGACTGCATCCAATTGACTCAGAACAGGGGCCAATGGAAGACGTTTATGTAAACGATAATGTACCTTCCGGTTGAACGAAAGACATGAAATTTCTTGATCACACGAATGACTGCCAACTTATGAAACTGGATTATATTCCACTGAATCAGTTGGTAGTTAGTGCAAAGGCAACTGATATTAATAAATCCACCTGTTAATCACTATCAATTAAAGTATGCCATACAGAATGCCACTAACACTCTTAGAGCAGTTAACATTCCTGCATTAATATTTATTTAATTGCGTAGAATATAAAAATGTAAAGCTATTCCTGTAACAGGCCATGGAGGCCCATAGAGTTGTGAGACGTTGAAGGTTCCATTTTATCTAGATAATCGGCTCACAGATGGCTGTAAATATGTCAGCCTTACGCGCCGGCCGTCCTTTACCCCCCAGGTACATTCCTGGTGCTAATTTCTCTTAGAGGTAGAATCGACCCCAGGGTCATAATGCGGCTGGAAGGATTAGGTCAACTAAANTTCCCCTAATATCTGTGTTGTTACTTGACTGAGGTCAAAAACATAATACACTACTTATGGAATTATGGATACAGGGGGCTCCTTTCCCTGGGTTAAAGCGAACGGGACGTGAAGATGACCACTCACCTCCAACTAGTGCCGAAGTCAAGAATATGTGGATATATACATCCACTCCATCATACGCTTTCATGGCATAGTACTTAATTAGTTAAGCACAGGGACAACTTAACTTGTGAAATTAATAAAAAAATATCTCCGACGCTATCTTGTCTTCATACTGGCAGCGTCGTTACACAACCAACCACAAAGCTGCTTCCGCAAAAGGTTTCATTGATCAAAATTAAAACCAAATGCAATGTGATATCAAGTTGTTGCCCAAGAAGAACTACATCTACAATTTGGGGGCATTAATTTGGATTCTCCATTTATTTAACTGTATACAAGCACCGCAAGATTTCCTGTAATTTATCCAGAATTAATTTCGATTTAAAGTTTTCGACTAAGACGCATGTACAAGTTTCGAGTTCATCCAAACGATATTTAAAAAATAATTTCCGACTTCAAAGGAAACGCATTTGTCTCCATAGCAGAGACCAGTCATTTAATTATATATATGTAAATACATGTCGCTTATTCTGAAAACCGTGCAAAGAACATAAATAAAATGTTTGGACAAAATGGAGAGTTATTAAATGTTAAAGCATGTGCTGTATATAGCATAATAACTCACTGTATTAAAGGATCAACTACTCATTATGCAACAGTTGTTTAATTGTAAGAGGAATTAAATCTTGTACTGCTTTATCGGGGACCGTGCAGAAACGAGGTATTATACTCGTACACAGTAGACAACATGTAGCAGTTACTTACCTCGCTACTGCTTCGCTATAGACGAACCCTGCCGTGGCCCGGCGTACCACCTCGAAACACAAGTCTGACCCGTCCATACTGCAATCAACAAGAGCACCATTAATATCTCTCCACTGCTGCAAACACTTCCTTTCATTGTCATATCTCATTATGCTAGGATTAATTCAATCAATTCCTGGGATAGTTAGCGTACAATTTAATTAATTCGATATTTTAATAGGATTCGAAAACGGGCACTAAGTACTGTTCCACAAGTGAACTAGGTTAACTGGAAAGTAACAGTTAAGGGCCAAAACAACGAAAAGAAAAATATATAAACACGCTTCCGGAAAGTAAGATAGCAGAACTTTGATTACTAAGTAACTTATGTTAGGCACACTTCTGAAGGAAATCACAGTTCAGACCTAAAGATAAAAATGGCTACTTTCATTTTATCACTACTCACTTCCCTACTCAACAACGAAACAATTACCAAGGTGTTCCCTGCAACAGTAGGACAGCACAACTTCGGTTACGAAAAGAAACTTATGCTTTAGTTCAGGAGAACTCAAGCAAACAACTGTAAGGCAGACGTTAGTAACAGCAAAAGAGTTTTCGGGATTACTGAGTTTAAGGACTTTGTTCACTAGTCAACATTCTAAAGAAGACAACGTGTAAGAAACTGGATCTATTTCCGTCTTCAGGTAAAAGAGGTTGAGGCACCTACGCTGTTTTATCTGTTAGAAAGCGTCGCTGTTCCTGGAAACAGGAATCGACCTCACAACATCTACTGAAAGTTTCCGACACCATAATAAACTCGTAAGTAGCTTATACTTTGTGAACAAAATGCAGAGTTCTTCCTAATGTTAGAGCTGGCGGTATATGAAAAACACGGTGATTTACATTGTTGGCCGGCTTTATAGAGCAGGCGCGTCACAACCGACAAAGAAGTGGTTTTGAAGAGCATAAGTCACCACGTTAAATAATGTGTGAGGCGCAGTTAATTCTTCCCGCTGAAGCACGACTTCCATTCTGCTGCCATCATTTTTCCAATTCACAGGGGCGAAGAAGGGAGGCTCCAACAACAGTTAGAGCACATATGTCATTATACATCTGTTTATAGCATAGATTATTGCTTGAATGTTCAAGAACTCTTCATTCTGTCCACAAAGTGTATTTATTGGTTTTGTACGATTCTCATAATAAACAGATCATTTCCTTAAACATCATTAACTGTCTGTTCTTTCAAATACATACGCGGTGTGTTTCCTCTGACGTAGGAACTGAATTTCTAAACACGGCGGGCTTCAAAAGTTAACGTGCTACTGCTAGCAACGTTGGTACTGCCTACAGCGAATGTGCGTCTTACAAGAGCAAAGAACTGCGTAACAGTAAATACTTTTAGAGCCAGAATCCTGTGTCCCGGACACGATATGGCAACAACTTACAACTACGGTAATAAATAACACTTATTTTACTACTTACATATTATTTCTGACTTAATTTGTGATGTTCTCACTATCTGCATTATAGGGCACAGAATGGTATGATGATTTATAACAGATTAATTAAATGGAAAGGTTCTGGAAGCTAGTAGCCTCATGCTCTTACTAATCCGACATCCAGCTGGGGAGACTGGAGAAAATCTAGAACGTCAGTCAGGATAGACAGCGTCCATGGAACCAAGCACTCCATAAATAGAAAACTAGAGCGTTACCGCTATACAAATCTGGTCGATGCTTATCTATGTTATGTTCTTATTACTTAATTACACACTCATGGAGCCGCCAATTCTGCAGCTACTCAAGAATTTCCCAGCATTTTTTGGAATCCGAAGGTTCATTACCGTGTTCACAAGAGCCCTCCACTGGTCTCTATCCTGAGCCAGACCAATGCAATCTATACCATCCCATCCTATCTCTCTAAGATCCATTTTAATATTGTCCACCAACCTACGCCTTGGTCTTCCCTGTGGTCTCTTTCCTTCTGGCTTTCCCACCAATATCCTATACGCATTCCTCGTCTCCACCATTCGTGCTATATGACCTACCCACTTCATCCTCCTTGACTTGATCATTCTAATTATACTTGGAGAAGAGTACAAGTTATGAAGCTCTTCATTATGCAGGTTTCCCCAACCTCCTGTCACTTCATCTCTCTTTGGTCCAAATATTCTCCTCAACACCCTGTTCTCAAACACCCTTAGTCTATGTTCCTTCCTTAATGTCAGAGACCAAGTTTCAAACCCATACAGAACCACAGGCAAAATTGTAGTTTTGTATATTCTAATTTTTAAGTTTTTCGACAGCAGACGAGAAGACAAAATTTTCTGGACTGAATGGTAGCAAGCATTGCCCGAGTTCAATCTCCTCTTAATTTCCTCCTGAATCAGGTTTCGATCTGTTATCGTTGTTCCCAAATATCTGAACTGTACCACATTTTCAAAGCATCTGTTTCCTATCTTTATGTCATGATTTTGCCCTGCATTTTTGTGACGAGACAGTAACATATACTTAGTTTTCTCTGTGTTTACTTCTAGACCAACCTCTTTACTCGCGTCAATCTGTTGTTATTATATCTAAACTACAATATTTCAAGTACAGTACATACGTGTTTTAGTATACTTCTTCAATCCCTGAGCTGCTACTTGAAGTATATTGCCGAACAAATGTTAGATCATTGCGACAAACTTCCCTTCATATGCTACTGTATGTTCTAGAACCCCCACAATTACTGTGCGGCAGAATGATCTGTTGGCCGGCCACAGTCGCCGCGGGGTCTAAGGCATGGACTGTCTTCGCTCGCTCGAACGCTGGGAGATTGGATTCGAATCCCACTCGAGGCATGGATGTCTGAGTGCTTTTATTCTGTGTTTGTATTAGAAGCGGCCTTGCGACGGGCTGATCCCCCGTCCAAAGAGTCCTACCGACTGTATATAGGATTAGGAAACTGAAAAAGTGGCCACGGCCCATCAAAAGGGCTGTAAATCCATAGACAGAATCATCTGATCCAAGAAATTTTTAAAATTAAAGACGTTATAGAGTTTTTGATTTCTTTATTTTAATGTTATATTTTAGCGTCCGGTTGCACTGATTCACGTTCATGGTGTGCTTTTGTACCAACCGTCTTACAGTGCACACAATTTCACCTTTCTCTTCACTATATGTTTCGGCACTAATGTGCCATCTTCAGGTGTGGTTTAATTTACGTCAAACCATTGCACTGTATGCCATCATGTCTCCTTTATAAAATAATTAAAATGTATATATGTCATGTATAATAATAAAGTTTATATATTAAAACTTTTCAATATTTATCATCTATACGTTGCACTTCAAATTCTCGAGTTACGTCAATCCTCTCCTATGGGAGTACTCTTCCTATATTCTTGTGTATATTGTGGCCTGTGTTCTGTCCTTCACTTGGGACTGCATGCGACGTATAGATGATATATCTTGAAAAGTTTTAATATACAAACTTTATTATTATACATAACATATATACATTTTTTATTTTATGTTTCATTCATGGATGCCGTCAACAGCTCGGCCTACATATCGTTCAACGTTACGTGATTAGAGAATAATTGATTGGACCTGACGTGAAAAGAAGCGATCGTGGCCTAATCTGACATATTCCCAGCATTTGCCTCGAAAGTCTGAGGAAAACAGCAAATTGATAATCGTGGATACCTAGTCTTCAGGCTTAGATCTGAACCCGAGACCTTGTGAGTACGAAGCTGTAGAGCTAATCACTCGATCGCGACACTCAGCGGCTTTACGAAGAACCAATGATCCACTGACTAATGGACTACTGCACAAATCCATGGCTCTACAGCCCTTCTGTTGGACCTTGGCCGTTTTTTCAGTTTCTTAATCCTACACATTCACCAGAACTCCTTTGACGGGGGATCAGCCCGTCGAAGGCCGCTACCTATATACAGAACAACACAAACACAGAATAAACGTACACAGACATCCTTACTTTCAGTGGGATTTGAACCCACGATCTCAGCGTCTGAGCGAGCGAAAACAGTTCATGCCTCAGACAGCGCGACCACTGTGCTCGGCTATTATATAAAGCAAGCAATGCAACATACATAAAGTTACAAAAATAAAATCTAACAGAGCAATTAAGCGGAAAATTCGCTGCTGTAACAAACGAATAAAATGCCTAGGAACGTCACTTTGTGTTTCATGTGTTCAGGAAATGACTTCCGGCATCAATATATCGCTGTGTCCTTAAATTGCTCCAAGACCTCAAACTTCGCATCCTGCTTTCTGCACGTGACACTTTTAGTTTAGATTACAAATTAATGGACCCCAACGCAACGCTAAATGATGTAGCCCGATACTTAGCAGGTGCTAATATCGGAAAGGATCGGTGAATAATGAATGCAGCGCTAAAACGCTCCAGTAATGAAATTCAGTACGACCAACGACAGGCGAGTTTCATCGTTCAACGGCCATGACTGAAAACTAAAATGTTGTTATAAAATGACCAAATGTCTCGGTTGCGTAGGTATCATTCCTGCTTCGTGGTGAGTAACTCCCGGGTTCAATTCTCGGAACGGAAATCGGCTATTCTAAAGGAGCGTCCACATTACTCGTGCTCGTGCGACTCGCTATGCTAATGTGGACGATATGACAAGTCACGAGACAAGCAAATTTTAAATTAATTTAAAAACTATAGCCAATAAATTAAAGTACGACTACAGCCTATCCACACTTCGAGTAAATATACGGATCCTCACGCGCCGAAGCCTGGCGAGCAACTGAAGTAGTGTGAACGAAGATTTAAGAGCACAAGTAAAAGCCAGACGAGTCTCCCGACAAGCATAAGCCTGGCGAGCACGATCACGAGTAATGTGGACGCGCCTTAAGGCTTTCCTGTTATTTCTCATTCCCTCGAGGCAAAGAATGGTCCCCCAAATTAGGTCACAAACGTTTCTTTCCACAACCTTTCTAATACAGTACTCGCTAATCATCCCATCATTCGATGGTACATACTCTGAGGCAGTGAAAGAATCATTGAATAAACCAAGAACAAAATTGAACAGAAAATGTCTATAAAGTCCAATTTCCCTTTTGTACGAGAAAATCAGATGGGACGACACCAAATAAGTTAAATAGTCCAACAACGTTCATAATTATGTGCACCTGAAGCTATAGATATATTTATAATACAAATTAATGGGTCAACATTTTCAGTTCTTTCTACATAACAAACGAACTCTGTGGTTTTAGTCTGCAAGCGAACTATACCGACCGAGCGACCGCCACTTGTCGGTGAAATTAGTGCCATCCTTAACGGATAGAGGGTGTCACGTGGTCAGCGCAACGAATCCCCACAACCATTAATTTCGGTTTTCTAGACCAGATCCGCTATTTCCTTTAAACACCTCCTCAATTATCCTTGGCAGGCTGAGTGGATCCCGTTCCAGATCCACTAATTCTCAGAAAAAAATTGGTAGCGCCGGGAATCGAACCCGGACCTCTGGATCTGTAGCCAGGGTCTCTAACCACTAGATCACAGAATAACAGCAATCGCATCAGATGACTGCAGCAGAATATAACACCGTATCATTGTCATAAAAAAAGTGTCCCACTGTTAAGTTAGATTCATGACGTTGCGACAGATTGCTTTCATAAACACGAGATTTTATTTCACGATCAATCAGTACTTACTTTCGAACAGAACAGACTTAGACTTTTCTTTAAAAGTATCCCCCTTTTAGTCATCCTGCTAACCCTATATTTTTACATATTAATAATTCATTTATACGTATTTACTACAGTTTTAAATTATGATAATTTCATGGCCAACATAGCGACAACATAGCGGCAGTGCAGACTGCTTAGCAATGATTAAAAGGTAAAGCTGACAGGCCGTGAAGGCTACAGGGTTGTGGGCGATCAGGGCTTCCACATTTTCTAGACAACAGGCTCACAGATGGAGGCTAGTGTCAGCCTTACGCGCCGGCCGCCCCTCAACCCCCATGCTGATTCCTGGTACTCATTTCTGTTAGAGGTTTAATCGACCTCTGGGCCAAAGTGCGGCTGGATGTATCAGGTCAACTGAAAAATCCAATGACCTCATTGGGAATCGTACCCGCAACCTTCCGCGTGCCATCACCAATGAATAACAAATTGAAAATATTAACTGATAATTTATTATAAAACAAATGAAATCGAAATTTTCGTCCTGGTTTAGAGAAACCGTTCCGAAATAGCTGTCAGTTTTGCACCGTCTTCTTGGCAGATGAGAAGCAAAATATTGGCTTTCACCAGCTAAATAAAATTTTATTTTTCTTCTGTCGCTTTCTTTTACGTGCTTTCTTTTCAACCATTAATTCACTCGAATCAGACTGGTGGAGCATATAATTTACTGTTCTTTTAAAATTCACGGGACGTTATCAATCTTCGCAGTTCATAAAACTGTGAATAAAAGTTTTCTTTAGCGAAGTTATATCCGGCTTTAAGAGTAGGGCCGAGGGACGAATGAGAAGAAAGGAAGAGCGAGAATAAATATCAACATGTAAGCAAATGAAATTAAAAGAAAACAAACTGTAAACATTTATAAACACATGTGTTTCAAAGAAAAGATATCACAATGACACACACAACAATACCTATGTACACAATCATTCATTGGCAAAAAAGAAACAGGTTAAATTATTTATGCTGGATTCAGCACAGATGTCTCATGGTAGCTGTGGTAACAACTGCAGGTAATCCCCTTCCTCTTTTTAGGCCTCCAATGGTGAAAGATCAAAAGATCCTATGAAGTTAGCGGTCAAATTAGTCACGTGAGTTATTATCTTCCGGACCAATCCTCAAGCGTAGGACCACCTCTTACCACCTGTCTCTTGAGTGTTTATTCAATATATTCACAGATACCCCAATATCTAGGACACCGTCTCCTCCGTCCGCAACCAGAGGAGGCGCAAACACTGGGCAGAACCTCAAATCCTACAAGACGTTAGTCCAACATACCGTTCACAGCAACGCTTTGATATTTCACGACACTTGCGAGAGCATGGAAGGTTGCTACTCGTACCAGCCTCTGGTGTTGCAGATTTATTATCTTTTAGACAGGGTAAGGGATATTTATTTATTTTTGCTTCTTCCGTTTTTAAATTACGATTTGTAAACCAAATACGAGACACATGCACTGTCTTGACGTACACGTAAAGGCAAAAATTAAAGTCTGTGGCAATAAACTTTTGACATGTGGGCCCTCAGTGTGACTGGAAAGGGTACTTCACATATTTCTGAAAGAAACCGGAAAGGATTAGTTTATGTACAAAGCATAAAGCCATAAAAATTTATTAAGTAGGCTTATATTCTGCAAACGTCCGACGTTTAACCTCCTCTTGCCTACGTAATTAAACTCCGTTACATTCTTGCCTAGAGGCCGGAACATGCGACACTTTCACTTTAAAATATAAATGAATGGATATGAAGGAAAGGTCATTAATGACCACAAGAACCTTCTTCTTTGGAATGATCGATCGATAACGGAACATTTGGGACCAAATATTATTTCCGCTAATTTGAAATACAGTAATAAATTTTACACATTTCTTATGTCGCCCCTGTAACAACAAATAATGACTTAGTGCCCTTCAATTTTCAGTAAATATATTTTCCAAATCCATTATTTTCGTTCTCCCACCTATCGCTGCGTTAATAATCATGCATTTCAAATGCGTGTTGGCTTCTGTGTTGATAGTGTTCTGATTTTATGGACTTTGGCCATTAAATTATGCACGGCCATCGGTGCAAAGCCTCATGAGTGTGGGTCTTTTAACGTTTGGCTTAACTCCCGCTGAATATTTATGTTGTGTCTGGTTTATACAAGGGCTGGATAAAAAAATGTGGCAACACTGCTGTAACATGAAAGATATGCGTCAGGTGGCACTAGCGCCGTCTGTAGCTGATAACAAAAGTTCAGTTCAAGTAGTACAGTGAGCGGCTCTGGTTGTTTTTCATTGAGTTGCATTGTGCATCGTCTTGAAGTGTAGGAGCCCAGTGACAACACCGTGAGAAACGGTACCGTTTCTCACGGTGTTGTCGCTTGCAGATTTCTTATACTTTTTCTTCTACCCTGAAGATGGGGGCGATACGTTCCTCCGAAACGTCGGTTAACACCACATATACACGGTGCCAAATCCCAGAAGATTGCTTTCTTCGATTGTATACCTGTTTCACATTCTCTTATAATCGTCCAATGCCGCCCTCCATTTATTTTTTTTT